TATATAATATATATATATATATTATATATATATATATATATATATATATATATATATATATTGCAACATATGTAGAGCTATATGTATGAACATGTACTTTTTTGTTATTAGAGATGCACCATCAGACAAACTAGCACTAGCCTACGCGCACACACATCAATTTGGTTCTCACACGCGTAACGTATTTACCAGTGCTGCTGCCGGGGTCTTCGTCGTCGTCTAAGTGCTTGATTTTGATGATTCCTTTGCTGTACTTGAATGCCGCTTCCGCTTTTCCCGATAAGCCCTCTGCCTCACATTGCTCACAGAGCGGTGGCTGGGACACGATCTCATTCTTTATCAGGTGATAGGAGTGATTATGTCAGTAACGATGTACACACCCACACCTATACCACACACACATCTACACCACACCCACATACTCGTTTGTACCTCTATACACCACACACATGTATATCCCGATCCACAAAATAAACAGTAAACTATGCCCCACAGGACTCCACTCTACTCTACCAGTAATGATTACGGTACAACGCTTTAGCATGGCACTCTCGATGGTTTCCGTTGCACACACCTCTGAGCTCAGACGTAACGCAATGGCCTCCACATCACCGTACGTTGCTGCCAACCCTCTGAATGCGGCGTCGTCGATTATCCCAATCTTCGTAAGGTTCGTGCTTGTGGGTACTGGTTGCCATGGTGACGATACGTTGGGGTTGAGTGTTGATGAGAGAACGCGTATGTCTCAAATATATTTCTTCCTTTTTATACTTACACACGTGGGGTCGATATGCGGATAGTGGTGGATGTGAATGGACTATTACAGCTTTGTACGCCACTGTACAGACTGATCTACACAGCTCAATGTTCCTGTCATGCAACCTGAACGCGTACATCCAGGGCCTGGCAGCATTGGACAGGTATGTACATCAAGGCGGCATTGCGAGGCAACTTTGTGTGTATCGAACATACACTTGAGCGTGTCAATTGTATTACATACCTTGGTTTGCGCGTTCGGGTCGGAGCACTCTGAACGGCAGTCGCCTGTGATCACACAGAAGGGTTTCACTGCCCACACAGAAGGGACGAGGGCGTGCACCTGTATGCAATTTTTTTCGGACTGGTTGTTAGGGTTACAAACCTTAGAAATTGTTGCCAGTTAGAGTTCCAGAGCTCCATGTTCACAGGGTTTTATGGTTTCAACGCTTCGAATCGATAGGGTTATAGAGGTCCAAAGGTTTTTGTCTATAGAAAATTAGTATTCCTAAACTTCTTCACTATCGCATCATAGCCTTCTCAATGAAACAGTGTTGATGGGTCACATCTGAAATGTTTTCTTCTCCCCTAATATGCAGTTCCGGTGGATAACAGATTCGCATTTCATTGGGGTTCGTAGCATGCTATAGAAATCAACACAGAAGACTGCAGATAAGCATTAGGGTTTAGGGTTATATGGGTTAGTTGATATCGACAGTTTAGCGAAACACTTACATGCAGAAATTGTTCAGACGAGGTCGAAATTTCGTTCGAATTGCACCACACTCACTCCGAATGGAGATGAGACGGTCCTGACGAGAATTACACATTCTCACACGCATGCATACACACATATACCTATACACTCACAGCCACATATACGCCCACACATGCACATGCACACATACACACATATATATACAAGCATCCAAACAAACAACACATACACTTACACACACACATATATATATATATATATATATATACAGCCGCATACACCTACACATACAAACTACTTAATATACGCACATACAAGCCTACATATACACACTAGATACCCCCCCACTCAACACACACACAGACTACACAGACTACAAAATTCGCCCCTTACGCACACACACTACTAGGCATACGCCTGCACAGGTCGCTATGCAGAAAATGGGTGCGCACCATTTTTATCGCCAAAAAAAGCCTTCCACTGGCGCAGAAAGGTGTGGGGCACCACATACAGAACACTCCGGTTGAACGGTCGCTCTGAGGAGTACGTGTTAGGGTTCGCAGTACTGGACGACGGCTGGAGACCACCACATACAAAGCAGATATACGGGTACAGTAGTAACCGAGGAGGAGAGTGAGTGTATGATACAAGCACAGCAGGTATGAGAAGATAGCGTGGTGCAGGGATGATAATATAGCTAGAAATATCGTACGGGTTTGCACAGATACACCAGCCTAGTTTAATTATATGTCAGCGTGCAACGACAAGATCGATAGTTATGCCAAGTTATATAAGCAGAATTGAATGACGCAACAAAAAGAAACGGGTTGGTATGGATTCCTATAGCGATGACAATTCGCTAACAAGTCAAAATGCAATGCGTACGGATAACGGCTGTGAATACGTTAATACAGCACAAGCTCAAGTACGAAGGTGTCTCATCGATTGTACTTCCACTGGAAATACTATACAGGTACGCAGAGTACCACCCATCGCAATTCGTTACCAAGTCAAAACGCAATACATATGGATAAAGGCTGTAAATACGTAAACACAGCATAAGCCCGAATACGAAGATGGCTCATGACATACTATACAGGTATGTACAGTACCATCCATCGAAATTCGTTAACAAGTCAATATAGCCGTAGGTGCCTATGGGAGTGCAGTAAGGGCACGGACAGACCAATCTATGCCACTGCCCATAGGTATCAACAATTAAACGAGACCATACGTAAGAGAGGGATGCATACTGGACGTATCCCATTGAAAGTTGCACCATTCTACTTACTACAACGAACACATATACACTCAGGCCTACATAAATACATACCTACAAGCATACATATATGCATGCATACATACATCCACACATAAACACGTACATACATACATCCACACATAAAAACGTACATACATAAATCTAAAACATTAAAACCAGTAACGAAAGGGCTACCAAAGTGTTTGCAACAAAGTATCAATTACAGAATGGCTTGTTGAGTTCTATGTCGTGCATCCCTTTGTGCTAAGACTACGTCAGACACCTGCACATCTTGATGTATATCTAATACATACACACACACTTACATACATACATACAGACATATATACATACATACACACACACACATATATACATACATACATACATATATATATTTTATTATATATATATATATATACATATATCCACGTACATATACATATACATATACATAATACATATACATATACATATACATATACCTATACATACATATATATATATATATATATATATATAATATATATATAAATATATACATAAATAACACAAGCACATACACTGCCCCATGAATACTAACCATTGCCAGATCGTTCACAGTGAAGGTCTTCCCGAGGAGATGACCAGCTATGTGACTGTCCAGCATGCGTTGTGCTAGGGCTTCATCAGACCTCATCTGCGCATTCTGTATGCAGAGGCTGCATGGCGTGGCTGGACTGTCCAATCGACGGGACTCGCGCACGTGTTTGGTCATAAGGTTCCATACCTGAGAGGTTTGGATCAGTATACGTGAGAATTTGGATAGGTTTGCATCCAAAACTGAATATCAGATGTGAGTATCCGGATCAGGAGGCGTAGAATTTCGGACCGATACACCCGAAAATTGAAAGCGCATCGCAGGTACTTGGCCAAGAATTGTTAAAAAGTCGAGTCAGCATACGTGAACATTTAGGGCAGTACACGAGACACCGGGATGAGATGAATATAAACCCAACAAGGAACACGCAGGTGCGCAGCAATAACGCCGCACATATGCAGTACATATATAGCACGAACGCATAACTAACTTCACTAAAGATAAACATGTAACTCAAAGGGCTGATGTTGTAATCACGTTCTCAGGTGTGCAAGATAATACACCTTATAAAGTATTCTACTGTGTAGTATATACAATATATATATATATATACGCACACACACACCACACACCACACACACAAACACACACACACACTC